GATGAAAATTATTCATTAGCAAAGAGTAAATTGTCCTATCCCTTCACTACACGTTAGTGTGCGTGGCTAGTACTTACTTAGCTAAACATCTATACGTATATATGAACGAATGAAGCGAAATAAACTGTTTCCTAATTTAACCTACCAAGTAGATTCCTCGAAATTCATATTTCTTTGTTCTCTGAATTAGCTGTCTTTCTTATATACTATGTATTTCAAGATTTAGCTTCTACTTAATTGCTTTAGTAACCTTTCATGATGACAGTCCAATACAGTTCCTTAAATTTTAAGAATAATGAAACTTACGATAAAATTAATTAGAATTTAAAAATAATGAAAACAAGTAAACTATTTATTTTATAATTATTTACTTCATACTATTACTTAAAAAGTAAACTAATTTGGTTTCAGAGGTTTACTTTATTTTTTTGTCGAAATAAATCTTTTATTAGATTACTTATAATAGTAACTTTTTATATACGTGAATTATGCTTAAGAAGCCTTGCTGATAATAATAGTATTCATAGTAAATAACCGTTTTACATATCCCATTCGGGCGTGATTTGAGGAGAGCGCACTTTTCTATATTCCAGTCATCCTCATGCCTGTCCTTGCTCCAAAAGCTCTTCAGGGCTTATATTTTTTTTCTGAACAGCTTGCTGAGGGATCTTTTGGCGTTCTTTATGTAGCAATACATGCTATTACTCGCCAACGTGTTGCTGTTAAAATTCTTGACAAACTGAAGCTTGGAGTAATATACCTTTTACACTATTGTTCAGCCTGACATCTCTAGAGTGAAAGGGGAGATTGAAGCCTTAAAGGCCTTGAACCACAAATATATATACAAATTGTATCAAGTTGTAGAAACGAATAGTCATTTTTATTTAGTATTTGAAGTAAGGATAGCCTTGAACTACTCTGTAGTATCTTCCTGGAGGAGAACTGTTCGATTACATCCTTCAAAAAGAAAAGCTTTCAGAAGTTGAAGCAAGAGTTATCTTCAGGCAAATCGTTTCGGCAATAGGGTACGCCCATCATAAAGGCTTTGCCCACCGTGATCTAAAGCCGGTATTTGCATTTGAACTTATTTTGTAAGGAAAATATTCTACTTGATAACGATCAGAACATCCGCATAATAGACTTTGGACTGTGCGCCAGGGTATGAATTGACTTTTATTTACTTTTTAGTTATCCGATAAATCTATGCTTAACACGTTTTGTGGTTCTTTGGCCTATGCTGCGCCAGAGGTATTGGCAAACGAAAATTATTCTGGAAGCGCCGTAATTATGTTTGGGTGCTTTATTATATTTAGGCTGATATATGGTCTATGGGAGTTATACTTTATGTTTTGTTATGTGGCTCTCTTCCCTTCGATCCTAACGATTTCCGAGACCTCCCAAATAAAATCGCTGTAAGTTTATTTGCTCTATTTACCTAATGTAGGAGGGCCAGTTTTCAATTCCTGAAGGGTTAAGTCAGAACTCGAAGCTGCTTCTTTCCCAGATGATGTGCGTTGATCAAAGTAAAAGGATAATAATGTCCGACTTGCGATGCCATCCTTGGATTGTTGAAGGCTTTATGGGTCATCCAGTTGATTTGGATGAAGAACGGCAAGCGGTTAGTAAATCTGACAGTTATAGTCTACTAATTTTATTATTACTAGGTCTGGTTGATTGTTATCCCATATTTTGTACTTCGTGTCTCAATTGCTTAAGTCCAATATATTTATTTAGTTTACTAGCTTATTATCTGTAGATAATTTATTTATATTTGAATAATATATGAGGATTTATCTTACATCAAAACATGCTTTATTGCTCTCGGTTATTATTTTTTTTATGCTGCCCACCTATTCAACTAATATTTTGTTTTTAAGCCAACTTGGGCCCACAATTAATTGTGTATCGTGTGTTTAAAACTTTGTTTTAAGGTTATTCATAACTTCTATTATCACATACTGCCGCCAGTACACAGATTTTATTATCGACACAAATTCTGTATTATACTATTCTCTGGCAGGGTCACGACCTCCGTAAGTTCTTGATAGTAACTGATTTATGCACTGCTTTAGTATTCATTGGATGATTCAGCCTTTCTATTAAATAACTTGTGGCTACTATGCTCCATTAACTTGGTACAATAGGCTGCTGCTGAGTTCCAAAATTCTATTTGTGTCCTTATCTAATTAAATCTTAACTGGCATCGCAATCTACGACGAGTTAATCGTTATCAAGATAAAAATCCAATCAATTTTCAAAACTAGATTGTTTATTAAATTTAGACCATCTTGCTTCGCATATTCATGGTTAGTCAGCATCCTACCTTAATAACCACTATGTATTTTTCGGAGTTTACTGGCATGGGAACTAAACAATTTCTTTGACTGTATTTATGCATAAATGTTTACTTCGATGTATATAATAAAGTTTGCAAGAGAAGCACTGTCATACTTTGCTTCCAATAATCCGAGTCATAGGTGGGGCATCGCAAATTATTTTATTTGCTTTTTCATGCCTCATATTAATTATGACCTTAAATCAGTGGTTCCCAAACTTTTCCTAGTCGCAACGCCCTTTTTCAATTAAAATTTTTCCATGGCGCCCTACCCTAAGTATGCCTATTCGTAAGTAAGAGATAAAAATAAACAAAATTCGTGTATCTTCATTATTTTTTTACTTTATTGACATTAAATTAATATTTAATAATTAATGTGATGGATGAGCCTACAAACCACTGTACATTTTCTCAAATTGAAGCTTTTACAATATTTCGTGGCATCCCCGTAGAGGCCGCAGCTCCCTGGGGTGCCGCGGCGCACAGTTTGGAAATCACTGTTTTAAATGTTTTTTTAAAATTATTTACTGCATATTCTTAAATACAACTTTGGGTTACTGTTGTCCATGTTCTCTTTTCTAGTTTTTCAACTTGAATGCTTATATCATCGACGAAATATCTCTTTATACTAGGATCCCACGTGTTGAATTAGTACGAATGCTGTCTAAAGTAAGTATTTTTTGTCGCCTTCAATATATTAATTTCTTATTGCATTTATACATATTCGGCCTTTTTTATATCGGGATTTCCTACCGGATCTGGTTTTTTTCTAGCACTTATCCAGTGGACAAGATCATCTTAACTTATGCTTGGGCTGGCTACAATTATTTTCTGCATGTATCTTTAAGCTAGGCAAAACTCATATATTCGATATTCGCATTTATATTTTAAATGCCAAAGATAACTATCGGGCTTGAACAATATCGCCACACGCTTGTATGATAAATATGATATTTATATCTTTAAAAGTTCTCTTATACCAGTTTTTAATATTTTGTTTAGCGTCAATACGACTATATCATGGCCACATATCTGATCTTAGAAACCGCCTTAAATGAGGAAGATGTTTTTATTCAGCTACATTCCTCAGATCCTCGTCAGCGCCGAACTACTTTAAGGTATAGACAACGTTTTTTGGGCTCTTCTGCACTCCCTCCCAGCGGAGCTAGTCAACCCTGTTCAGCTGTAAAGAAATCTGTCACTATATCACAATCCGTATGTCTCAAATTTAATTACATTATTCTTCTAGCCTTCATGTGATTTTTCTATCTCTAAGCTATATTTGGCTGATATTCCTTGGCTTTTTTGCTTTTTTAATACCAGTGTGTTGGGTTTCTGCTTTATCTTTTCTGTTAGCTCCATTTCTTAGTTTGAGCAATCTTAATAATTGCTTTTGCAATTGTATAATTTATCCGTAAACTATATTTAGAGAGAAAATTTAGGATAGCTCCTAAGTATGTTGTTTGTCTGTGAAGATCTCAATATATTTTGACACCTTATCTCACATTGAAATCATCCAATGAATGTACACCTTTTTTGTTTACTAATATTCCTTTTACGCTGCTCGATTAAAATACATGCGCGCAATTGTATTACTTCGAATTTTGAAATAGTGGCGTGTTTCCATAATTCAAAGCAGGTAATTAAATTTGATTACACAGGTGATACACTGAAAATCTCATTTATTTCACACACCTATACACACCTGTGCACAAAATGCTTTCAAATGCGCAGATTTATATGCATATAAGCTAACCAACTCATTCCATATTTTCCCATTCTTACTTTTCCTAAGTTTATATAGCTGTTTGGTTTTATCATTTGGTCTAGGCTTGATGCTTTTATAAGAAAGTTCTGCTTCTAAAATATATGTTTCCTCCGTAATCTCATGCTATCAAAAGTTATTAATATTCTTGTTTCCGTAGCTGTCTGTCATGCGGCAGATAAAGCCCAGCTCTTTTTTACCTGAATTGAAAATAGGTGTCTTTTGGATGTCAGCCTGACTCCAAATCACAGTTGACCACGATTATCTCTTCGTCATGTCTTGATGAGATCAACACGTGAATATCTTTATCACACATTTTTATGCACGATGAAGCTCACCTTAATTTATTAGATCATACTAGAATAATTTTAATCATTCGATATTTACTGTTAATTGGCTGTTCTGCTATTTTTACCTATTATTGACTTTTATTTTATCTCACCTTTCTACTCTTTTGATCTCCCAGGATGTCGAATCTAAAGTAGGCCTTTTTCGTTCGGATAAGGAGAACTTGATACCCTTGTCAGACTTAGGTGAGTAGCTTAATTTGGTTAATTTACTGGATCAAATTTTCATTTGTCGTTTTACTCAAAATTATCAGGTGTGCGCACCATGACACTAGTGAACACTCAAAATGGTTAAGAATTAATAGATCCTTCTGTAAAATTCAAGGAAAATTGAGTACAGAGCAAAATCTGCCTTGCATACCTGAGGTCATAGTAAATCAAGCATTTCAAGGTAGCATTAATTTCTCCTTCAACTCTCAGGTTTAGGATAGGTCTAATACCTCATAAAACGGCTTCAGTTCGCTCTTGACAATTTTGTTTATTTTGTATATTAGTCATCAGCACAAACTTATTGTTAATATCATCCAATGTTCTAAAAGCCATAGTTTGTCCCATTTTGTATCGCTTATTTCGATTTTTCTAAGAATTTATTTACTATAAACCAATTTAGTACAAATGCAGCCACGCATTGTCTTTCTGTATACTGCCAGCGAGATGGGATTTGGTTTTGACACCAAAAGGGAAGCAGTTTCACTGTTTACTATGGCTATTAGAGGGGACACGGGTTTTCTCTCAGTAAGTCAAAAAATGTGTGTATGCCATGGGAATTTTCATTTCTATGGAAGAGTAGGATGTAAAGGATTCATAATTTGGACTCATCGGAACTAAATAAATATTACCTTGAAGTTGTGGCCATTGATTTTTACTAAGCCATCCGCGCAGTGTCCTGTCACCCCTATGCTG